TCTATTTTTTTGAAAAAAAAACAAACATCAATTACATTTTCTTTTTCAAACTTTCGCGGTTCGTCTTTCACAGTTCAAGATAAGGATGATTTGCTGGTAGAGAACGTTGTCCTATTTCAACAGAACGTTCAAAAAATGAAAGTGCTGTCGAATAGTCACCCATTTTGTCATAGACTGAGCCCATGTTGTTGTAAAACGTGACTGAATCAGGATGATTTGAAGGCAGTGCTTTTTCGCAGATTTCAAGGTCTCTTTAATAATATGAAAGTGTGTTCCAATACTCACCAATCTTGGAATGCGTCAAACCGATATTGTTGTAAGAAATAGCCAAGCTCGGATGATTTGAAGAAAGAGTGTTTTGTTTGATTTCTAGTGCTTTTTGATAAGATGGAAGTGCATTCGAATAGGTACCATGCTGCTGTACATCGCACCAACGCAGTTGTACGTTATAGCCAAATTCGGGTGATCTGAAGGAAGAGTTTCTTGGCAAATTTTCAATGCTTTTTGATGAAATGAAAGGGCATTTGAATAATCACCTATGCTTTCATAAGAGGAACCAATGTTGTTGTAAGAAGCATCTAAAGCTATATCCATTGGCGAAAGAATCTTCCCTTTGATTTCAGTGGACTGTTTATAGTAGGCAATTGCATCGGTATATTCACCTTTGTTCTGCTTCACCCATCCGAGCTGGTGATATATAAGTGCCTTGTCTCGATCAGTGATTGCTTGATGATCAGGTAGAATCTCATATAACTCTTGGGTTTTGTCAAATTGCCCAAGTTTGATTAACAACGTACCCAAACGATCCCATCTTTCCGCGCCAGGATAGGTCTCTTCTCGTGTATGTTCTGTGAGTGCATGGAGTTCTGGATCCTTGCCGCTAATCAATGTTAAATCGACTTGCCAAAGTCGACTATTTTCATCGATTTGTTTGATTATACCAATCCGAAAAATGGAATGCATAGAGAAGAGAATTTCTTCTTGTCTTTCGACATAACTGATGTCACAGACGTTAGCAAATGGCGTCGCCTGAATGGTTGGATCAATTTTTACGACAAATAGAAAACCAATAAGATCGGATGTTTTCATAGTTTTACGAAGAAAATCGAGTGATACTTCCCGGTTTGTACTAGTTGATAAAAAGTTATTAAACGATAAAAGTCCAACTTGTGTCTTGACCATTTGATCAAAGTCTATCGCTGACAGCCCTTGACCATGATAAACAGTAAATGAATTTGAAATTCAATGTTCACCAAACTGCCGAGCATGAATTTCGACAAGGTGGTTGAGAAGATCACGAATAAAAAACCCCATACTTATGATAAGATCGACTTCCATCATTCGTAATGATCGACTGAGCATTGCGTACAACAAACATTGGTAAGTATATCACCAAATTGAACGATATTGGTGGTATTCTTGTTCAAGCTTTTTTGACATGATCAAGGTCATTTGGATTGTCGGTAAAATCATCACGACAGTAAGAAAGAAATTCATCGATATGTTGTTGTTGGAAATCGACGGTTAATAAAATTTTCTTCATTATTTGAGTGTACATTAACCTTGAATCCAATTGATCGAGATTCGACTTGTTGTTTTCAGTACCAGTATAGACAAAACTGATCGAAATCATGTTTCTATCACATTCTTGTGCTACTTGTTGAAGAGCTTTACAGATCGGAGCAATATCTGTAAAGATTCCTCTTATTTTTTGCCAGTGTTTGGTTCATTGTTCATGCTGAATTTGACTCTTACAGAATATATAAATTGCATTGAGCTGAGACATTTTATGTATCATGGGAATTATAGTTTGCGCCAATGCTCCCGAAGCGATCATAATAGAGCCCTGCGGTTTCAAAAAAAATGGAACCGAGAACCGAACCGAAAACCGGTTTTTTCAATTTCTATTAACCGGAACCGGAACCGTGAAAAAAAAGGGAATGGAACCGGAACCGGAACCGTTGGAACCGAACTTTTTTTAATGATAGCTAAGAAATTATTCAAATGCAACATAATAATATGTGGACACAGGTTATGACCTGTGTAGTGATGCATTTTGTGCATTTCTCATGCTCATATTTAAAACCATAGGCGGCGCGCCAGCAATGCAATAGTTAGCAATTGCTACCCCTAAAATAAATTATTGGAAGCAATAAGAACTTAAGGGTGGGGTGTTGCTGTGACTGTGAGTGAGACTACATGTATTTCTGCAGCCACTGATACCCACACCAACACCTACTCACACCCACATCCACATTCACACCCTAATGATTCCGAAGAAAATGATGAAGGCGATTTATTTTAAAACTTTGTAATATTAATAATTTCATGTGAACATATTTTATAATAGTATGTTTTCTCATTCTTTCATCTTTCATCGTATTTTTTCAAACTTTTTTATGAAATAATAAACATGAACAATCTCAAAAAAGGAATACAGAAATTAAAAAATATCTTACTCAATATTTTCTATATCAATGTAAAAACACCGGTTCCTAAAACAAATTTTAGGAACCGAAATTGGAACCGCTTTTTTTCGATTTTGGGAACCGGAACCGACGGTTCCGGTTCGGTTCCCGGGTAATTATAGGAACCGCAGGGCACTAGATCATAAACACTTTGTCTTGTTTGAGGTTGTTGATAAATTTGATGCACTCATCGACATCCGTAAATGTATTGATTTTATTGATTACTTCTTTTAACTTTGAAATAGTGTTTTTGCAATCTTTGTTATTTTTAAGATCAATACTGCTGTCGAGCGAGACGAGTAAGTTCTGAACCATACGGCCATGAGAAGATCGTCGTGATCTTTTATTCGTATGTTCAGATAGTGTAGTAGCAGCAGCAGTACTTGTTCTTATTGTTACTATCATTTTATTTTTGTCCATAACGTGTGTATATGTTGCGTGATTAACGAAAAAAAATAAAATGACTGGAATTTATGTAGTATGTTAGGTTTTTTTTTCTAGAAACTTCTATTTATTTTCAATTGTTGTTGTCGTTCTTGTTTGTTTTATTTTCATTTCACTTCAGTGCGTTATTCTTTTACTTCTCTATAGTTGTCTTGTGTTACAAGACCGTGAACGACTGAAAAAGATTCATTGCAACATGATTTCATACTCAGTGACACATTGCACTCTTTTGTATAATGTCTGGTTCTTTTCTTTTCTTCTTAGTGTACGGTGGGAGTCTAATGATTCATCGAATCAATAGGTAGATATGTACTTGGTTAGGAGTCACATTTGAGAACACTATTTTGAAGATTCTAATTCTTATTATTTGAAGTAATGATGAAAGAAAGACATTTTAGTATAATTTGTTTTTGGGATCCAAGTCGCATTTCCAAGATCATTCTTGGTAGGTGATAATACGGACGCAATAATGACTTATTTGAACCAATACAAACTTTTTCATTGAGAACCTTTTGAGTTCTCTCTAGTTTTGGCAAGGTACAATTCTAAGGATATACTGTAACGATGGTGATAGATACCACCATCTATATATACGGAACACTTTTTAGATCAAAATCTTAAATGACATTCGAAAGAGAATAATTTTCTACATTCTCTACGGTTCAGATGATTTTGGGCACTTACGAAACCGCTGATGACGCATACAAGTGCATTTCTTGATATTGTTTCTCCCCATGTGACGAAAACCAGGCAAAAACCGACGGTTTTTCTCGCTTTACCGGCAAACTACCGATTAACCGGTTGTTTTTAATGGTGAACCGCGGTTTACCGCTAAAGCTGATCCAGTCTTTGTGACATGGATCTATTCTGTCTTTAATCCATTTGCACGGATTTCGTATTATCTCTCTATATTGCCGTAAATTGATATGTACATAGAAACAGAATAGTACACATTGTTATTTAAAAATGCATGACGAATTCTTATTCCCATGACCTTTTTTTTGGCTCAATTAAGAATTTCAGTGTCATACGGAACCAGTGAAAATATATGTAGAAGTTCTTTATTGTTGTTAACATTCGCTTATTTTTAAATGAAACATCAATCCATTCTACTATAGGATATAAAAAGTCTTTTTTTCCATGTACGTTGTTACATTACTTTTTAGAAAAAAACTAAATGAAACTGTAATCATTAATTTGTTTTAAAAAAGAGATATAAAGTCTAAGATATTCTTCTATGGTTATTTGATTATGTTATTATAAATTACATCTAGTTTCAAGATTAGTTCATTTCTTATATTCAATTCAAGACCCAAACTGGGCTTATTGTTGATAAGATTATAAAACTTTCGAATTGAAAGTATGAATATGATAGCAATATTTAATTTAATCATTGTTGTTGAGAACAAATGAAACTTGATATTCAAATCTCGGTAAAAGACTTAATCATATTGATACATGAAACTTTGAAACAACGTATGAACGTATGTTGTACGATTTTTCAATCTTTAGACGATCGTAATACGAAATAGAGGTTTATATTATGTGTCAGAAAATCAAAAACAACACTCGCAAACGATTACAATACAATGCATCAAGCTGTAAAATATTTGTATGCCAGTAAGAAATAATCATGAATTAATTATGAGATTATTATAGACAAAAAACACTTATAAATAATTTTATGTTGAAATTAATGAATTTTTTCGTATTGAATCTAGCTTTTGCAAGAATTAAAATTCTAGAACTTGATTATGTTTAACGACCTAAGCGTTAGTTATATTTATTTGCGTTTAGCAAATGAAAAACGAACAGCCATGATAAAGCTAACAGAGACGAAAAAAAAAAGAAATGAAATAAAGTTCCTAACAGTGAAAGTCGATTGAAAGAGACAAATAAACAAAAAAGAAGAAGCAAAAAGATGAGAATCAGAACACAACCAACAATAACGAAATGCGAATGCATATATAGAGGTTAAGGTTTTTTTTATTCAACTATGACTCATATAGAAATAAGTTATACGGAAGGAATGTTAATTAAAGATATTTGACGATGTACTTTAAAAGTTTTGATAATTGTCAAAGTCTTTTATAAATCAATATGTGGTTCATCCGAATCCTAAACAAGTAAGATAAAAAAAAACAGATTATATAATTTTAGAAAAAAAAAACAATATTAAGTTTCAAATAAACATACTCTTGTTGATTGCTTATCTTCGTCTAATTTTGTATTTGTATCATCATCAATAATATTTTCATCTTCGTTTGTATCGAGTTTAGTCTCAGTTTCTTCATCAATAGGTTCATCTTCAACTTTCTCATCTAATGATACACCCATAGCACGTCGTAACATTGTTTCAATACGATCAGCAAAACCAGCTGAATCTTTTAAGTCATAACCTGATCGAAGTGTTGCAGCTTCAACCATAACATTAGCTAAATCAAAAGCTGTTTTATCATCTTTTGAATCTTCAACACGACGAAGTAAATCTTTAATAAGTGGATGACGTGGATTTATTTCTAATGTTTTCTTTTGATTTAAATAAAAATTCATTGTTGAATCACCACCACTTTTTTGATATGCTTGAGCACGAGCTATTCTTTCCATATTACCATCATAACCCCATTGTGATGCAACAAGTGCCATAGGTGTTTTAACAAGACGATCAGATATTTTAGCATCACTTATTTTTTCACTAAGTTTTTCTTTAAGCCATGTTAATAATGGTTCATAAACTTTTTCTAAATGTTTCTTTTCTTCTTCTTTCTTTGTATTTGATTTATCTAATTCTAAACCATCTTTAGCAACATTTTGAAATTTCTTTCCTTCATATTCAGGTAAAGATTGCATACAATATTGATCAACAGGATCAGTTAAATAAAGAACTTCATAACCTTTTCTTAAAATACGTTCAACAAATGGTGATTTTTGTGCTTCTTCAACTGACATAGCAGAAATAAAGTAAATATGTTCTTGTTTTGGTTTCATACGTTCAACATATTCAGTTAAACTAATTAATTTATCTTTTGATAATGATGTTGTAAATCGAAGTAATTTAGCTAAACGTGTACGATTTGCTGAATCTTCAATAACACCTAATTTAATATTTGTACCATATTCTTTCCAGAATGCTTCATAATCATCTGGAGAAATTTTTTTTAACATATCTAATGCTTTTCGTACAAGTTTCTTTTTAATAACTTTAAGTAATTTTGATTGTTGTAAAGTTTCACGTGAAACATTCAATGGTAAATCATCACTATCAACAACACCACGAATAAATGATAAATATTTTGGCATCATTTCTTCGAAATTGTCAGTAATAAATACACGACGAACATAAAGTTTAATAGCATCAGTTTTTTTATTATAATTTGAAAATAAATCAAATGGTGCTGCTTTTGGAACATAGAGTATGGATTTAAATGTTACTTCACCTTCAGCAGTAAAATGACTATAGATCATCGGTGCTTCACTATCTTTAGCAAATGATTTATAAAAAGCATGATATTCTTCTTCAGATACATCAGCTGATCTAAAATAAGATTGGAAAAATTTCTAATTAAATCTTAGAAATTATTGAATAAAGTGTCCTATAAATAGTATTTTAGACAGTGGAATCCGACAATGATTGATATACTCAAGGAAGGAACACACTAATCTTGGAACTTAATAAAATTTCCTGAATAGTACAGTCTAGAGCCCATTGGATCATTTTTCTATGGTTACATTGAATGAAAATTATTGTAGGATGGAATGAACTAATTATTCAATCTAACTCAACATTATATGGGTTAAGTCTTGTCTTTCGATAGATTCATTTACCGATTAACGATAAAAAATTCTGATTATTAAGACATAATTCTTATTCGGTGACATAACACTAACATTCTAACAGAGATTAGAAAAATTTTTTTAAAAATTTTCCAATATTGTAATGATAGACGGTTAGTTTAGGGATGTGCAGTTTCAGTATACTGACCACCGATAAAACCGCACTGGCGTTCACTGGTACGCTGACGACACTGACACTGAGCGCACTGTCTGCAGTGACACACCGACAATGAGCGAACTGTCTGCAGTGGCACACTGACACTGACGAGGGAATACCGCCCAGGTGAAGCTCCGCTTTTGACCTGATAGTGTCTCCCTGCAGACAGCGCAAATCAGTGTCAGTGTATCACTGCAGACAGTTCGCTCACCATCAATGCGTCACTGCAGGCAGTTCGCTCACTGTCAGTGCGTCAGTGCAGACAGCGACACTCAGTGTTGGTGTGTCACTGTCAGTAATTCAGTGTTTTCACCGAAACTGCTCATCCCTAGGTTAGTTGTATAGTAATTATTTTTTCCGACTATTTTAATTATCGCTATCCAGTATTATTCACCACTATTACTACTGGTTACAAATACAAAACGATAGAATAATAAAAAAAAGTAATAATAAACTATAAACGTCTCAAGTTTGTTGATCAACTGTTGAGATTGTTAGAAAAACTATTCTCGATAAAACAGAACTTGTATAGCTGTTGAATATTGTTTTTTTAACTTACTTTCGTTGCCAAATTGGTTTACTTTCATTCATTAATTCCCAATCCCAAACAGTTTTATCGACTGTTTTTGTCTTTGATTTCTTTTCTTCGTCTTTATCATCTTCAACAGCTGCATCATCATCTGTTTTCTCATCAGTTTTTTTCTCTTCAACAGCTAGACATAAAAAAGAAAATATAAATATCATTAGATATTAATAATCGTTCATTTACCGTCATCGTCCGGTACTTCTTCTTTGACAACTTTTGATTTCCATAAATAAATATTAAAATTAATAAATTGTGAATATTTACGAATAATTTCTTCAAGTGTTGATACTTCTAAATATTCACCAGCTTCTTCTTTCAAATGAAGACTAAAAATTTAAAACATTAATAAAACAAGTCGAGATTATTTTTTGTATATTTTACCTGACTGTTGTTCCACGACCAAGTGTATTACCTCGAGGATCTTTAAATACATTAAATGATGATGAATCAGATTCCCAAATATATTGTTCATCAGCATTATGTTTAGATGTAACAACAACTTTATCAGCCACAAGAAAACTTGAATAAAAACCAACACCAAATTGTCCAATAAGATCACTCATTGATGTACCATCTTTACCATCTTTACCATCTTTTTGTGCTTCTTGAACTTTATTTAAAAATTCTGATGTATCCGATTTAGCAATTGTACCAAGAAATTGTACAAGATCAGCTTTTGTCATACCAATACCAGTATCTGTTATATGTAACATACGATTATCTTTATCAATTTTAATACGTATTGTTAATTCTTCTTTATCACCAAGTACACTTTTATCCGTAAGAGATAGAAAACGTATTTTATCAAGTGCATCAGATGCATTTGATATAAGTTCACGTAAAAAGATTTCTTTATTTTTATATAATGAATTAATAATTAATTTCATCATACGATTAACTTCAGTTTGAAATTGATGTTTTTCTGATGCATCAAGTAGTGTACGAAATTCTTTTGCACTTAAACCATCTAATTTAATAGCTTCTTCTTCTCTAAAAGTAAAAACAAAACAAAAGAAATAATAAATATTTAATAGAAAAAATTTTCTTTCTTTCATTATAATAATTACTTTTGTACAACTTCATCATCAGTTTTTGATGCATCACTATGTTTTCCTATATCATTATCAACTTTTGGTGGAACTGCTGTTGATGTTGTATCTGCATCATCATCAGCTTTACAAATATCTAAATAAAACAAACGTATAAAAATTTAAAAGAAACTTTTACGATTAATATGATTTTATCTTACTTGAAAACAGAAATATGCTTAGTAAAGCAGAAAATAAAAGCCACTTGAACATACTCGATGAAATGGCACACTCAATGGTTTGTTTTGTAAAGAAATGAGATTACTTTAACTTTTAGTTTTTTTTAATATAGGCAACTTGGTGTTCTGTTCAAATATGAATGATTGATTATATTAACCAATCATTTGTCGCCGTGTATTGCTTCGTCAGATGTATTAGAGAAGATGTCGTTGATTATTAATGTTACTATTTAAAATTTTATGATGAAAAATTTTTTAAAAATTCAGTTTTTCTTTTCTTAATTTTATAAATATATAAAATATAATTCAAGATAGTTCAATTAAGCATTATGAAGGAAAGAGAATTCTAAATGGTTGATTTAGTAGGCGTAACCAGGACATCGTAACTGATACGGGTAGAATGCACAAAACGTCGACTACTTCCGATAGACAGACTGCTTTACATTTCACATAGAATAGCATAAAAATACGTAGTACATTTCATTGAATAAAATAATACATTTTTTCCAAGAAGATTATAGGCAATTTATTAAACGGAAAAATAGTAATTTTTTGTTTTTTGAATATGTTACTTTTTAAAACTTTATCCTTGAATTTCTCTTTGATTATATCAAGAAATGAAGGACAGAAATGTTTTTTTTGCTTATCATCTGTTTTGATCATTAATAGGTGTTTTTCGATTCTGATCGAAGAATATGGTCCGTACACGATGAAATATAACACATCAATCGAGGCCATATTTCTTCGTAAATATAAGACCAATAATATGGTTGCATGTTTGACAGGGTACGACAACATTAGAACGTACTATGGTGATTGACGATACGCCAAAAGGATAGCCTAAGAAAATGAAAAAAAAATGATTTGTTATGCTTCAAAACGTTCTGTATAAAACTTTGTCATTGTACATTCGATACACTTCGCTAACGACAAAAAAGGTGTACACGTACAAGCTGCTAGTATAAACGAATTGTAAAAAGACAGTTTTTATCGAATTTCAATAAGAAGTGTTAGTAGTAGAACAATGCTTTGCAATCTTCCGGAAGTTCATAAATTAGACAGTCAATGATAGTAATGATTACGCTGTTCTTTCTTCTAGAAGTAGGATGAAAAAGACTAGTGGTAAAGCATTGTCTAGCCTAGATCATTTTTGGTTGTACCGCTATGTTGATTTTTTATTCCTTAAAACACGAATACAAAAAACAGAAAATGCTACACATAACATAATAATTGATATGAGAACAACAGAAAAATTAATTATAACTGGTACTTTCCATTTGTTAAAAATAGTTGATTGTATAAACGTTATTTGAGTTGTAATGGTAATTTTTGTCTTTATAATTGTTGTTTGATTTATATCAAAATTAAGTTGAATAAGACGATTTTCACATATAAATGTTCGTAAAGAAAATAATTTTGTATGACTACTTTTTAAACTTAACCAATAATATTTATGAATTGATGGACAAGGACTTGATTGAGTATTAATAATTAATGTTGGTGTAAGAAATATTGCTGTTCGTGTTTTAATATTATATGGCTCATCGATTTGAAAATATTGACATGTTATATCAAGAAAAATCAATTGTGTATCAAGTGGAATAAAATGATTAAAAGAAAAAATTGGTTTAAAACAATTCGATAGTTTTAAATCAAATTTTAATGGACCTTTAAAAAGCAAAAATTTTTTTTTTTATTATTTTTATTTAAATTCTTTTACCTAATTGATTAATCATTATAATAAATTGATCAAATGAATCTGTACGACCTTGATTAAATGACCATCGGGATAAATTTTTTGGATAAAAATCATAATCTTCTTTGTATTGTCTTGCCATAAAATGAATAGTACAATTTTGAAAAAATATACGACGAAGACTTTTTAATTTTTGTATACTTTTTATATTAATATTTATACATAAATTAATTAATTTTAATGTTGTTATACTTTCTTGTAGAATTGTTATATTTGATGAATAGAATGAAATGAGATCTACTAATGTTAAAAAAAATTGAGAACAATTTTCTAATGGTAATTCATAAGAAATTGTCAAATCAAGAGTTTCTTTTGTTGTATTAATATAATAATCTGTGATGAGAAAAAAAAAATATTCGTAAAAAACTATCTTTTAGTCAGTTTACCAATTGTTTTGTTAAGATGTATAATTGTAGAATGTGCACTACAGTGTACAAAAAATTCAATGAAGACAATGACTGTATTAATACAGATAAAGAACATATTAAATAATGGTTGTATATAGCAACTATATAACTTATGATAAATGGTAATTAAAATTCTCAACAAATCATTGCGCTAGTTCATTTACTAGCACAAATTATATGATCATTTTTCAACAAATGAATTCTATTTTTCAGATGATATACACTTGTTATAAGATTAGTTAAAATAAAAATAATTTAAACGACACATTGTTCTGTTTTCATTTTTATTTCTTGAAAAAATCAAGCATTATACAACATAAAACGAGTTCAACCGGTAATTTTGAGTTAATCAGTCCAATTTGGAAACTATATAAAAGATGGGTGGTAATTTGCAAAAGAAAGATATCACGGCTACAGTCGCAATTGGCACAAGGCGAACCGTTTGATGGTTTAATTCAATAAAATGACGTAATTGTTTGTTTTTTTTCTAAATAAAAAATTTAAAAAATATTTTTTTTTCAAAAAAAAATTAAATTAAAATATTTTACGAAATGATCGCTGGATACAAAAAATTGCAAGTGGATTTTTCTTTGATATATATAAAACGATGTCAGCCGCTTTTTCTTTCTTCCGTTTTAATTTTGGTCATAGTTGTTTGAATTAATTTTTTGCTATCTTGATGGATTCGATCAACTACGGGTTCAAGCTCTTTAAAACCATGTTCGAGAAAAGGTTTTGTTTAGTTTAAATAGATTGGTTCTATGGGCGGTGTTTTAAATGCAATAATAGTTTTTAGCCATGCAAAATAAAAGAGTTGAATGATTTGTTGCCGAAGCTGTTCAGACTTGGATTCGGTATATATTGTATTGAATTTTTGCCATTCATTAATTTGTGATAGAAAAAGGCTACGAGAATCATTTGATTCTGTAGTCCTATTGATATTATCTTCCTGATCGTTTTGATTTTCGACAAAACCATCCATTTCGTTGAGTAAATTTTCACGATGACTTCTAAAGACATAAAAAACATGTCTTCCATTTGATCGCAAGACTCTTTCGCAATTCTTTCTCACACATTGTACATTAGTTCGATGTTGTCATCGCTTTCAAACTCAACTATTAATTAGATCTATCAACTATAAAAGAGAAATAATATACATTAGAAAGTGTAATACAAATATCTAAAAAGTTAATGACTAAGAACATCTTAAATAAAATTATTCAAAAATAATTGTCTATTTCAAATATTCATTTGTATATAATAGAAGAAAAAAAAACAAGTTTGTTCTAATCTATTTCAAAGACGTAAAGGTGACCCTTTCAAATTTATTGTCTTTACTTACTTGTGATAAAAGAAAACGAAAGATGACTTTACATCAGTACACTTTCTTTTTCTTCATCTTGAGAGTGCAACAGAAAAAAAAAAAGAAGAAAAGGATTTTTTTCGTTTCTTTCTTGCAACATGTACAAAGGAGTGTCATATTCTGTGCGTTTGTTAATCAGAGAATGCGGAACAGAAGGCTTCAAGCTAACATTATGAAGGTGTACATACTGGCAGTTAAGTTAAAATGCACATAGAATCATTTAGTAACCTTGAATGGGAATATTCATTTCAATCGAACTAAGCATTTGAGTAGTATATTTTAAGTTAATTATTATTAGGACCAAAGCAAGTAATGTTAATGATTGTATAATAAAATAAAAATTATGTTTATCAAATTTTGAATTTTATTTTATTAATTTTATGTTACTAATCAATGTTCTGATTTATTGCATCGATATATATTCTTATTATCAGCTCTTAATTATCTATTGAAAACCAGTTTTAGTACAAATATCTGTGTTCTATTTTAAAAGATATAATAGTTATTAACTTTGATATTAAGCACAATAAACATATGTCATCATCATTAAACAAAAGCCTAAGAAACCAAGCACATATATTTACTATAGATAACTATTTGTAAGGAAGTTCTAACTATAATACGTCTAATCAAACGATAAAATAACATTTAAGACAATAGTACAGTAGCGAAAAGAAAAAATCACTAAGAACGTAAATTAAGTAAGTAGGATTGTCAAATACAACTTGAAATTCAGAAAAATTATTGTCAAATGACATTTTAATAGTTTATAAACAGAATTGGATAATGAAGAACTTGAAAAGAATAATTACATATTTAACTGATAATTCTTCAATATAACAGTGATATGTTGTTTGATATCTGATGCTCATTTGAAATATCTTTCAAGTATAAAACCAACCTTTTTAATTATTATATCCATTTCTCTATTTGTATGATATTTGATTATTGTTATTTTGAGTTTAAATGGCATTATAAAGATTCTAGCAACCTGTTACCACATTTTTTCGTTTCATAATCTATTTCATTCATTAACTACAAAATAAAAATAGTTCAAGCATATAATATTCAATCAACTGTCATCCTTTATCTGTTTCTAAAGAATAGTTACTACACTATCTCATCATATAAACATGATATTGACGAATGATTATCGGTAGCAGTTTTTTTGAATAAGGATTTCCTGATAGGCAATGTCCGTTCTTAATCCTATATTAAGTAACTATGTTGATATAGTTCAAGTGATTAAACTATTTAGTTGAACTTCAATAAGAAAGGAAAATTATTTTTCTCAAAGATTATCATAATGTAGTTTTGCTCCAAATTATTGATAGTTGTTGCATTCTTCTGGTTCATGTGTTCGTTAAAGACGTAAATAAACATGCATCTACATTAGATGGATTAGAATTAGCATCTTCCAATGTGATTGTTGAAGTTGAACTATTCGTCGAACGAAAATAATATAATATAAACAATACAATCTATTGATTCTATAAAAAGAAGACTTT